GTGGGTGACGTTTGTTTGCTGCTTCTGGTTAGAAACTCAACACTGAGAGAAACATGTGACATGAAGTTTGTGTCGTTAGATGCAAACTGAGAAGAGACAAGTTTCTATGAAACTACATGTAAAATGAGACGGAAACAGTCACAGATTCTTCTGTTTTCAGTTTTAAAAGATCTTTTCTCAAATAGTTTTACTTGTGTTCACTGAGTCTCAGCTCAAACCAAACCTGGACAAACTGTCTCTGAATGACGACATTAGATCAGGAAACTGGTTCAGGGACACCAGTCACACCTTTCTGCTCAACTTATCCAGTAACAAATGTCAGCTCTTTGGAGGAGTTGATTGTCTGTCAGATGTGGATTGAGGGGTGGGTTGGGGGGTTCCAGGTGTTCTCTCTGAGGCTTTAGAGGTTTGCGAGGAGGTCCTGTGGCCTCCACTGAGGAGGTTCTCACACTCTTTCATTGGGGTTTTAGGCACGACTCTGTGGGCTCGAGACAGTTTCACCTTCCTGGTTCTCGTTCTGGTTTTGATGAAGTGCTTGGATTTCTTGACGAGGTTCTATTGTTCCTTCAGAACGCTTGGGAGAACCTTTAGTAGGCTACGTGGGTTTAACCTTTTGCCTCTTAACCCCTGTTTCATATAGACACATCGTGAAGAAGAAAAAGTGTCTTTTATGTAGAGATAGGCCTGTGGTTTTAACCCCTGTGGAGCTCTTTCCTATGGATGTATTAATAGAGTTGAAGTCACTTCCTGTCTAGCTTCTATTCAAGCAATAGAATACAAGTTCTCGTTCATTCATTCATTCATTCATTCACTGATCTCTCTGAAGCCTGTGCCTGGAGTTTATTTCCCAGATGTCAGCATCCTATATAAGAAACTGGAACGGTCTTGATTTTCACAAAGTTAAACAACAGTTTTATGAGTTCAGAAAAAACTACAGCAATGTTGAACAATGTTGCATCATGGGTACTTATATCATTGTGTCATTGTACCTTGTAGTGGGGCAGACAGGCAAAACAATTGTGCATTTCATGACTAAAGCCTGAAAGCTTCAGGAGATAATCTATGTACCTCAGACGTGGAGGCAGCTTGTATCTGACCTCTGGTGACCTTGAGAGGTCATTGACTCATGCATATCCTTGTTCTAATAAAGATGCTTATTTGCTGCTGTGACTGTGTAACATAATAAAAATATAACCAATAACCAGTTTTGCAGGGGGGGGGCTGCAGACCCCAACATCTCCACGTGGTAAGGTAGCTGTAGCTTGTTAAAAACATTGACAACTTCTGCCGTGTGTTCTATGGAATCACATGACTAGCTAGCACATTAGCAAACACTGTAATCAGAAGCTAGCATGCTAGTTTGGTCCGGACCACACTCATTACTCCAGAGGTCACATCTGAAAATAAACTTCCTGGTTTATCGTCAAAACTCCCCAACGCTCATTTCTAAAGTTGTTTTTTCAACTTCCTGGATGTAATCTCTGAAGTCTAAAACCTTTAAGTGTAAACACAGCCGACTGCTGCTGGTGTATTATGAATTTTAATCCATGTAAATGTTTTATTTGTAAAACTTTTCTGGAGTCTTTCATTCAAGATACTGGGCGTCATTCTGGGGCGTCTTACAATACACCCATGGTCCTCAGGTTGGCACCCGTTGTTTTAATGTGATCCAGGGATTGAAATACCTGAAGAAACTTGTCAAACTGCTGCTGCAGCTTTATCCATGTCCCCACTGTCCGTCTGAGTGATCTGTATGCTTCGAACAGTTCTACTGAAATATGGTTTAAAAGGTTTTTTTCTCTGCACGGCCGAGATTCTGTGTCAGCTCTTCAAAGGTTTTACACCTCTCAGGTCTAGAGGCAGAGACTGTTTGACACTCTGAGATTTGAAATGGATGTTCTCCTTTTGTTTATGAGGCTGTGGTTTTATGAGATACACTGAGCGTGATTTGATTTGGCGTCCTCGGTGTGGGATGTCCCTCGTGGCTCGGCTTCACGGAGGTTTTAGGGTTCTTCCAGAGACTTTTGTGCAGATATTTGAAGGTTTTTGTGTTTTTCTGCAGGTTGTTGCAGGATTATTATCTTTCATGTCCACGTCTGTTCATTTGCCACGTGTGTCTGGCTCTGATCCTCTTCCCCTTGGTGAGACAATATGGCGTCTCTGCGAGGTTCTGGCAGTGACTGGAAGTGCCTGCACTCAGCAGAAACGGAGGCCATCTGTTAACCTTGACGAATGGGCCTGTGGTATTCTCTCGACAGGAACACCATCACCCTGAGTGAGTCTGTAACCTTGTTAGTGTCCAGGTTAGTTCAGGCCGAATCCTGCAGTGAGATCAGAGAAGAGCCTGAGCCAGAGAAACAAACACAGCCAGTAAAATACAGGAAGTCAACTCCAAAATAAGGGCATATGCTCATATAAAAAGCTGGAATTAAAGGAACATTTCATTACATGATTACTGTGGTCCAGACTGAAATGCTTGACGAGTTGTGAAGTGTTTTAGGAGGTTTTATGTTCCATTCATGAGGTCTAGAGTCCATCAAGATGATTCTACTGGTCGAGTGTCTGATCCATTAGAGGTTCAACAGAGGTTAAAGATATTCTGTACCAGGTTCAAGTGGGTCTTTAAGTGGATATAAAGGTCCTGAGGTAGATTGTAGAGGTCCCTCAGGTGATGGTACTCCTGTACGCTGTATGGTAAGGATGTAGGAGTTTCTAGGGATAATTTAGGAAGTTTAAAGTACACAGACGAGCTGATAGAGATCCGTCAGTGTTTGAAAGTCACCAAGTGGGCTGTAAGGGCCTGAGAATGTTATAGGATCCTCACAAGGTGAAGCCACACATCAATAAATGGATATATGCGACAATATATGCAGCGTATGGTAAATTTGAATCTATGCAGCAGCATTCAGCAGCTGCTGGGACTCAGTAACATTGAGATCGTGCATTAAGACGCTCTGAACACTGAAACGTCTGCATGAGTGTTTTATCTGGACACACTGAAGGATGTAATAGAGTTAGGCGAGTCTGATCAAACAGTCCGCCGGCTGCTGCTCGCTCCCTCCTTAACAGATCAGTCAACACTCTGAAGACGGACAGCATCATGGGAAGAGAGATACTGAAACAGCAATGCTTTTCCTGTGGCTCTCACACATCAAACAGGCAGGTAAAAGCGATTTCAGACCGACCACTCACTTTACATTTTGATTATTTAAATCCTGCAGCTCCTGTTTTTTTAATTAGCCTCCTCTTTGTTCGTGCTAAGTGCTCTCGAACAGGACGACACAAGATTACAAATTAAAACAATTAAACCGCCAGTTGTGCGTTTCTATAAACCAGTCAGACCATTCACACCAAACCCATCCTTACTGTGACTGAACCGCCTGCTGTGCTGCAGTGAAATACAGTGTACTCAGTGACAGTGGGTAAAGGTGGAGCTCTCTGCGGACTCCAGCCAACATCAAAGCACCTTTGATCCGTTCAACAGTGAAGATCAAACAGAAATCACCAGTCGAGGTGTGAAACTGACCCGAGTCCTTCAGTAAATGGAGCGGCTAATGCAGAGAACCAGTCTGAGTCCAAATACATCGTCCACGGTGTCAGCTGAAGACCATGACATGGAAAACCTGAATGAATGAGCGCATGATTTTTGGTCTTTTATTCAGGAGGCTCGTCTGAACATAACGCTGTTCCCTGATAAATCATTAATCATCCATCAAATCCATTCATCAGTTCATCCAATACTTTTATCCATTTATCCGTCTCTTCATGAATATTTATCCATTTAAATTCAAAATGAAAATGTCATCCATCCATTCATCTGTTCACCCACTGTCTATCTATCCATCAATTAATTCATCCATCCATCCATCCTTGTTGCTGATTGGTCACACTCCCACCCTCTGTCAGTCGACCAATCAGACACAGTCTCGCTGACAATGAGTGAACTCACGTCTGCATGAGTGTCCTGGTTAAGATCAGGTACTTGGACTATCCCAGTTTTACGTCGCACAGGCGGAACACCGTGTCCTGGTTTCAGAAACCTGTTTGGGACTTTGTCCTGTTTTTGGGAAACCTGGATGAGTTGGAGTCGTCTCATTCACAGCCGCGCCCGCAGGTTGACCTTGACTCACCTTACATCGCAGTTAGTAAGTTAAAGCAATGATGAGATGGTGGATGATGTAACAGGGAGTAACCTGCTGAACCAAAGGGAAAGTGTGAGTCAGTAAACTAGATTATTATCGCTTTTGTTTTTCATTACCGGTGATCGGACGGAGAAGCTAAATCCAGAGAGAGGCCAAAAACCAAACTGTGAGGATCACGAGCCGATGATCAGGACCTGGATATTGTTGGTCATGTGACAGGAACCTGAAGAGCCAGGTTCCTCATGTTCCATGTAAAGGCCACATTGTGAGTAGCTGGAGGCCGCATCCTACAGAGGCTGCTTCTAATGCATCCTTCTTTTACTGGACAGTGAAGGCTCCAACAGGTGCGCCGGTAATGAAAATAATATGGCGGCAAACAACACCGACAGCGACCCCGAGGATTACACTTTTAAATTTAACAGTACAACTGTTAAAACCAAGGACCTTAAAAGCTCAAGTCTCTGTAAGAAAAAAAGAAAAGAAAAGTTATATGTTGTCAAGGTTGCTAGGTGACAGGATCGGTACTTTGGGATGCGTCGGTAAGGGCGGGTACAGCTGGGGACGGAAAGCGGTATCCTCTGTAAGACTGTCTCATTTCAGTTTGACGGATGCGAAGGCGCGACCGCATCCTCCAAAGGTGCCTGAGGGACAAAACTAAACCAGGATGATATCTCTGATGTGAAGTGATGAATAAATATCTAAACATCTCTATGAACACTTGCCAACTTTTCATTAGATTTGTTGTGGATGTGATATTCCCGCTCCCCTGAGGATGAATTCTTCTGGTTTTGGTTTTCCTCCAGCGCCACCATGAGGCTACCAAAAATCAGAATCAGAATCTAACACACCGACATGTTG